AGGGATGGGGAATGAAGGATGGGTACTCCGCCCGCCATGAGGGCACGGCAGGGATGGATGGGGGAATGAAGGACGGGTACTCTGCCTGTTGCCCACACGGGGCTCCGGGATTCGGGACTCGGCTGCTGGCACAAGGGGCCGGGAGCCGGGGTTTGGCTCTGGACGCAGCTGCTGTGCCCCCAGACTGGATCTGTGCCCCCAGAATGGGATCTGTGCCCCGAGACTGGGAGCTGGACAGAGCTGCGGTGTGCAAGGGGCAGACCTGGGCACGCTGCGCCACTTCCCTGGAGCTCGGTCCCGGTCGCTGCTCCATCCCCCAGGACTCCGATTCTGACCCAGCCCCAGCTCCTGCCCTGCTGCATTCGGAGCTGGACACCGGGTACACAACTCCGGTCCCCTGGGCTCGGACCTGCTCCCCACAGGGCTCCAGCCTGGACACAGCGCTGCTCACCCCGGGTCACACAGCAGGTTAAAGGGTGGTAACAGCACGGTTTCACCTCTAGTTCAGGAACGAACTGGAAGAGGCTGCGAGTGTTCCTTACCCATGGTGAATAAACAAAGCCCAAAGCCTTGGCCAAAGCTGCTGACAACTGCAGGTTACCCATGGGAGCCAGTGTGAAGGATGAATGGGAATGGCTTCAAATTGCCAGAGGGCAGGGCTAGACAGGGTATTGGGAAAGAATTGTTCCCTGTGAGGATGCTGAAGCCCTGGCACAGGGTGCCCAGAGAAGCTGTGGCTGTCCCATCCTGGGAAGCGTCCAAGGCCAGAGTGGATGGAGCCGACAGGGACCTGGGATAGTGGAAGCTGTCCCTGCCCCTTGGAACAAAATAAGCTTTAAGGTCCCTTCCAACCCACACCAGTCTGGAATTCTCTGATGTGCTTTCAGGGTGCTGCTTGTCCCAGCAGCTGCTGCCACAGGGGTGCTGAGCCCAGCCCAGCCCCTTTCCCTGGAAGCAGGAGCAGCATTCCCACCCTGTTCCCTCAGCCACAGGACTGGGCAGTCCAGTGCCAGCATTTTTATTAAAAGCTGCTTACCTAGGTACTAACACAAGGCTGTGGAAGAGCCAGCTCCAGAGGTTAACTGTGGCAGTCCATAGCATGAGAGGGTGATGGCGACTCCCTTGTTCCCAGCACAAAAGCTGGGACATTTCCATTCCTGTCCTTTGTTCCTTCCTGTGCTAAATGATCTTAACCTATTTCACTTTTCTGCTCCAATAGCCCTGCTGTTTTGGTGGGGTTTTGTTGTTTGTTTTTTAAAAAAATTTTTAGACTTCCCTTCACTCCACTTTGATTACATGCCTTACCAACCTGTGTCTGAGTGCAACAGCCGGAGTGTGAATGTACTGTTGGCCAGAAGACAGCCCCGTCCCCTTCCCTTCTCCCCCCAAAACCAGCATGGGACCAGGGCACGAAGCTGGCCTGCCTCCATCCCCAGCGCTTTGCAACACTTCTAAGCTGTTTAGCAAAGGTAAAAGGCGCCCACTGTTAATTCGCTTTCCAGTGCTGACACTTGAGCTTCCTTCATTCCAAAGGAAGGCAGCATGCCCTCACCCTTATTGCCCAGAGAACAAGAAGGAAATACTGGACAAAGGCACTTGGTTGAGGCACAGCAGGCTCAAGCCATGAGGAACCCTGAGATGAGACCCTGCAGAGCCGGGAGCAGTGAGCAGGGTGAACAACTGGCATCTCCGAAGTGGCTGGTCCTGAGCAGTTCCTGAATCCTAAAACTGAGGGGGCCAAAAACCCCAGCGAGTGCATGGTTGCTTTGGCAAATGTTAGCCTGGACACACGCTGATCCCCAAAACTGGAGCCCCAGGCTCTCCCCTCCTTCCTTCTGCACCCGGAGTTTGTGTTGGACTCCTGGCTCCAGGGCAGGCTCCCCCAGAGCTGGGTTTCCCAGCAGTTTGTGACCCTGATGCACAAGGAACTCCCTTCCCCACCCACCTCCCCAGTCCCCTCCTGCCCCCTTTCCCTGGTTTATAGTGGTGATGGGGCTGGCAGAACGTCTCTTCCACCCTTCCAGTGTCTCAGAGAAAAGGGGCTGGTGGCTCCTCTGTGATCCCCACTGTGTGTTCAGGGTTTGGCAGGCTGACTTAAGTCTGCTTCTTTTCCCATTCCTGCAGAGAAAGAAGAAGAAAAAATAAAGGCATAAGGAGACATTGCTGGAAAAGCAACACTTCAAGGCATCCCTCCCTGCTGGGGGCTTAAGACCCAGCATCTTCCAAGCACTTCCCTCTCCCAGCCAGCCCTGCACTTCCATGATTTCATGGTTGAACAAGGGGCAAAGACTGAGATTTCCCGTGGGGCCAGGGAGAAGAGGGAGAGCTGAGCAGGACCTTGGCTTTCCGCAGCACGGTCCCCGTGTTGGCAGGGATGATGGAGGGGCTTCTCTTCCTCAGCTCTGCCGCACAGTTCACAGGAACCAAGTGCTCAGGGGGGCTCCCGTTTGGCTTGTTTGTGGTTTCCTGTGGAAAAGGGGGAGTAAGAAAAGCTCAGGAAGCCCAGGAAGCATTGACAACCAAATTAAAGAAAAAAAAAAAAAAAGCATGAACTGTAATGAGATAAAAGTTGAGGTGACCAAATTCAACTCACACACCTCTGCCCACAATGGGACAGAGCAACAGGGATGTCCCGTCCCCTGTGCTGCTCCCCACAATACCCGAACCATTGTTTCTTGCAGAAGCTGGAGCTCTGAGCGAGGAAAAAGGGATGCATACCCCATTCTCAGTCTTGCTGGTCACAGCCAGCCCCAGGGCCGGCCCTCCTGCCAGCGACTGCTTCAGCTGCTCCTTCACTTCGGTCAGCTTGAGCTCCAGATCGACCCGAGACTCCTCCTTCTGCCGGCAGCGCTCCTCCAGCACCGCCACCCGCTGCTCCAGCTCCTGCAGCCGCGGCCCTGCTCGCACAATCACCCAGCTCAGCGCTGCGAGAATGCACCCATCCTCCTGCACGGGGACACTAGATGGGGCTGCCAGCCCGGCAGAGCGCTGCATCCAGCCCGGCAGAGCTCCGCAGCCAGCCCGGCAAAGCGCCGCATCCAGCCCGGCAGAGCTCCGCAGCCAGCCCGGCAGAGCTCCGCATCCAGCCCGGCAGAGCTCCGCAGCCAGCCCGGCAGAGCTCCGCAGCCAGCCCGGCAGAGCGCCGCAGCCAGCCCGGCAGAGCTCCGCATCCAGCCCGGCAGAGCACTGCATCCAGCCCGGCAGAGCGCCGCATCCAGCCCGGCAGAGCGCCGCATCCAGCCCGGCAGAGCGCTGCATCCAGCCCGGCAGAGCTCCGCAGCCAGCCCGGCAGAGCGCTGCATCCAGCCCGGCAGAGCTCCGCAGCCAGCCCGGCACAGCGCTGCATCCAGCCCGGCAGAGCGCCGCAGCCAGCCCGGCTCCCGGCCACGCCATCCCTGTGGCCAGCCCGGTGTCCCCGTGCCCTGTGCCCGAGTGCCTGGCAGCGCTCCGGTGGCCCCGACCTACCCGTGCTGCCCTTCATGGCTTCCCGCAGCTCCCTCTTCTCCTTCCGCAGCGACACCAGCTCGCTGCGGATCGACGCCTTCTCCTTCTCCAGCTTCTCCTTCTCCGTCAGGAATCGCCTGGCGTCCTCCTCGGCCCGGTTCTTGCCGTACCTGTACTGGTTGGCACCTGCAGGCGCGGGGAGGGCCCATGAAGGGCTGCACCCATGGCACCCGTGGTCCAGCACCCTCATCCCTCAGGGAATGGCTCCCTCCCGCACTGGCAGGAGCCCTGGGGACGTCTGTGGCCCGGGGACTCACTGGATGCGTGTCTCTTCACTTTGACCTGCGGGTCCACCCGTCGAGACTTCTCGCTGCAGGACGAGGCGTGGCGCTTCACCTGAGCGGCCCCCGGCCGGCCCGGCTCCTCGTCTGCCTGCTGGGAGGAGAGAGAGTCAGCTGAGACACCTACCTG